AGATCTATCAGGTCTATGGACTGTCATAAATCTTGCCATAGCTGAGACACTATCTTTGCTATACCCATATTGGCTGCCGACGCCATATTTAGGGATAAAAGCCACAAAATTGCCGGTCTGTTGCGCCATACGTTGCAGTAAGAGTGTAACATTCTGCATAACGCAATCTCCGAGAAAGGTGTTGAATGCATGCGCAGGAGTTCCGTAAACATCGTTTTATTTTGCCAAGGAATGTAATTGGAATTTTGTAATCGATTTGGTTGTTTCAATATTGTTAAGTGTTATATAATGCTGAAATTTAGATTTTATGGTCCATTTTGTACGTGCTGCAGTCAATTGCAAAAAAAATGCTGCCTTGTCAGTGTTTAGTTATTGTAAATAAGACATGTATTAGGTACAGTTCTATTACCTGATAATGTAGGTTAGAAACGTTTCATATCTCAATTTGTAATGAATGAGAAGACCTGTGCTTTTTTAGATATGTCAAAGTCAAACCATTTGTTTTAATTAAACCATAATTTGGTATTTTTGAAACGTCAACAAATACAAAATAACTAATAGTCTGTCAGTCTGGTCGTCAGTGAAGCTAGGTGCTTATTCTAAAATGTAGATTGTAATGGAGAAGGACGAGCAAGAAACTCCGTTCATTACTCTTTTAGGTAAGGTTCGTAAGTATATACCCATTCGGAAAATAGCTGAAATCTATTAAGTTTTTCGTGTTTTGTTTTAATATACGATTTTTTAGGTTTACAGTAGAATTATCTAAACCCACAATCACATTTTACGTTAATACACTTTTATTTATAGAAACTGCATACCTAATTCCACCATAAGAATAATGTTAGGCCGTCTGTCTTCAAGGATAAATTGCCGAAATGCAAATAGCCGGTAATTCGTGCGGATATAAAGACAATAGCTGTTTCAATGGCGACAAGTGAATCAATTAAATGATTGTCATGAAGAAAAATGTGTCATTGTTATTATTTGACCGAGACGACCTTGCACTTGGAGTCTGTGACACGATATCGTGGGTACCGAAATTTGCGAAATGTTACTTAGATTATTTAATATTGGTTAGGGAACTTTTTGAAGTAGACATTAATAGCATCTTAAAAGACTTTAATTTATATAGAGATAGATCTTAGATAAAGCATAGATTCTTATAGTGTTTGAAAATAGGAGCTATCTTTTATTACATAGGACTCATAGCAAATCTACAGTAAATGTTTTAATATTTTAGCTATACGACCTGCTTGGTATTAAATATATATATACTTAATAACCTGACGCCTGTCCCCCATGGGCGTAGGCAGAGACTACGCAACGTCAATTGCTACGAAACTTACATACCTCTTTTGCTTCATTATTAGTTTTTTTGTATTAAATTGTTTTAATGGTTTATTTTTCATCAATAATAAATAGTCGTTACTCACGTATCAATAATGTAATTGTTATAAATAAAGCCTACGCTTGAGAGCGCATCTGTTCCTCGCGTTTTAACATAAAATAACGTTTTCCCTACTTTTTGTACGCTGCGTTTACCAAGTACTTACATTTTTAGCTCGCCAAATAGTGTGTAAAACTTATAGAGTAAGCCAGGTCATTGACACCATTCCAACGTATTGCGTCCGCATTGAAAATCTTACTATATCTCTTCACGTTAAGATTGAATTTTAAATGCACAATGTGTGATACAATATTTATATGGGAATGTAGAAAATATAGTAAAATTAGTATAGATTCGCTGTAAGAGGTCTCTTTTACAATTTTTTTTATAGTAGGTTTTTTATATGAATATTTTATATTTTTTATATATATTTTGATAAATGAATGTAGTATAATAAGTAATGCGTGTTACACACTATTTGGCGAGTATAACATAACATAACATCACGCATTTACATTTATGCATTTGATTAGTTTTCATTAGATATAGAAGTTTGGCTTTTGTTTTTCCATGACATTTTCTTATTGACAGAGTTTTCCATATTCGGCTGAATGACATAGTATTTATGGGCCATTCATTGCCACTATATAGAAGATTTTGACTGAAAATTGGGTAAACTGTTGCTGCAGTTTGACTTGTTGAAAGAATTTAACACGTTAAACGCCATGGGGGTCACCGGTGACCGGCGTTAGCGGAGGATTTACCTTCAACAGTTTTTTATTGGCAGTCAAAGTCTTAACAAAATGATGAAGGCGGTAGGTCGGTAAGGTTAATTTTAAGCAGCTTCCCTACTAAACCTTTTAAACTGCAATCGTTTGGTAACCATAGATCTTACTGCAAATCTTCTCATGTAGAGAATAGATAGAAGTGCTATAAATAATGTCATATCTGTTTCATGACAAGAATTCCACATCTTCTGGTCTGCCTTGAGTATTATAATAAGTATGCTGATTATACAGAATTAATTCTGAATGGACAACTGTATCTGCAATTATATTGCTCATTTGATTATTATTATTATGATGTTGCTTAGAGAAATCATTGAGCCTTGTATGAACATGGACTGGCAGATAAAAAGGCGTTAAATTATAAAGATAGAATATTTTTGTGTTTTAAGCGATGACCTGTTTTGAGACTATTGTATATGTTCATATTATCTGTACAAACAGACAGACAGGCAAAAATTATAAAAAATGATATTTTTGTATGTGTATATTAATGCAGTAAAAAGCGGTTATTTTAATATTATAAACAGACACTCCAATTTTTTTAATTCTAAAATGATTGCGGCATTATGTCCACCTATTTTACATTTTGTGCATGAAGCATATTAAATAAATATAACAGAGACTAACATGACTACTACAAAATATGTAAATAAATCACTTCGTACAAAATAAATTTAATAACATTCTGTAATACATATATATATTATATATAAATATATAACATCACGCCTTTTTATCCCCGAAGGGGTAGGCAGAGGTGCATATTTCGGCACTTAATGCCACTGTACAATGTAACACCCACTTTTCACTATTTATGTTATGAGTCCCATGTAATATCATTCTGTAATACCTAAAAGATAAATACAAGTAGTCGCATTTGTTTACTTCAATCATAAACAGTTACAAACTGTTTCGACAAAATTAATATCCATTTACAAAAGACCAATAATCAATTACCTTTAAAACCTCTTAAGACTACCATTATTATAATATTCGTAGATAAAACACAAATACCACACACTTACAACCTCGTTGGTCGAGTGGTCGCAAGTGCGACTGCCGGGACTCGGATTCGATTCCCGGGTCAGGCAAAGTATTACTGTGTTTTAAAAAAAATCTCAGTAGTAGCACGGAATCTGGAATTGTGCCCGGTATATGGCAATAGGCTCACCCCTATTACATGGGACTCATAACATAAATAGTGAAAAGTGGGTGTTGCATTGTACAGTGGCATAATGTGCACCTCTGCCTACCCCTTCGGGGATAAAAAGCGTGATATTATGTTACAACACACTTAATAAAATGCAATATACTTATTGTAAAGGTGCAAAGATCACAAATGCACATAATTATTAGGTAGTGGCATACTGCCAACTGCACGCAAGGATGCAACTTAATTTCCATGAATACTTGCAAAACTTGTGATGTCATCTCCATTTTGATTATGTGCAGTAAATGTCTTGTTCAATAAAAATAATATAAGTATCATAATTCCATTACATGGAATAAAAGAATAGATATTATGTAAAATATAAAAAAATATAATGAAAAAAAACGTATATAACATCACGCTTTATATCCCCGAAGGGGTAGGCAGAGATGTACATTATGGCACTTAATGCCACTGTACAATGTAACACCCACTTTTCACTATTTATGTTATGAGTCCCATGTCAGGGTGAGCCTATTGTCATACACCGGGCACAATTTCAGGCTCCGTGCTACTACTAAGTTTTATTAAAAACTCAGTAATACTTTGCACGACCCGGGAATCGAACCCGAAACCCCTTACCCGGCAGTCGCACTTGCGACCACTCGGCCAATGATGCAGTAGACGATGACCATGATGGTAAATACATACTAAGTCTTTGTATATTTTATCCAAGCCCTATATAATAGACGAACATACAAGATTCTAGAAACAGAGAAGTAATTTATATAGAAAATTTTACAATTACTGCCTCGTTGGCCGAGTGGTCGCAAGTGCGACTGCCGGGCAAGGGGTCTCGGGTTCGATTCCCGGGTCGGGCAAAGTATTACTGGGTTTTTAAAGAAATCTCAGTAGTATAGTACGGAGTCTGGAATTGTGCCCGGTATATGGCAATAGGCTCACCCCTATTACATGGGACTCATAACATAAATAGTGAAAAGTAGGTGTTACATTGTACAGTGGCATAATGTGCACCTCTGCCTACCCCTTCGGGAATAAAAGGCGTGATGTTATGTTATGTTATTTTACAATTACAACAAACTTCAACTAAATTTATTAACATCCCTCTGGCACGCGTTAATCACATCTGTCACTATCCATTACTAGATAACCATAAAGCGATCGAGTTAATAACTCCTAGTATCAACAGGTAAATTACTGTTGTACACAAAATCCAGTTAATTTAACTAGAGGCCTTCGGTCCGATACACACGGGCGGGTGCGCAAACGCCGAGCCACTCGCACGATCGCTAATCACCCGTTTATAACATTTTCCGTTAGTGTGAACTGCGCCTATGATTGGATCGTTATTTTATGAATAGAGATTCCTTCGAAGAGAGTTTTATTGTCAATGTAAATTAAATTTATAGCAAATTTTCTAAGTTTATGTATTTATTGCCTTGGGAAGCTTGAAATCTTCTAATGATGTCTTTAAACTCATTACGGTCCTTCGTTAGATCAGAAAAAGCTTTCTGTAATAAATGACATGTCCCTGAGCGTTATCTTCAGTTCTAATTATCAAATCACTACCAGCTACTTTGTTTAAATCGTTACTGCATTATCAAACTTGCCTCTTGTTACTTTAAAATATTCATAAAACATTCTCTTTTTGCAGTCCTGTCAGCAGTATCCCCAACTCGCACCACAAACGGCGGCAGTGCGCATGCGTCGCCTGCGCGAGAATTGTCCCGCGACACTCCAGATTACCAATATGGCCGGTTCGACGCAAGCGCACTCCACATTGCACATGCGCTCAAACAGACAGAACTGCAGAAAGCGTATCATAGACCCAGGGAGAAGCCCATCGATTGTTACTTGGTAAGTACTTATAAAATTAAGTCGTTAACATAATCTGAAACTAGATTTCAGGAAAAATATGACACTCCTAACGAGAACCTATTTTACTCCATAATTTAAAAAAATATTATAATTTGAACCCTAAACAATGTAGCATTAGGTCCCAAATACATAACACTTTCCTTACCAACAGTTTAGATTAATTTGAATCAAACATTATTTGTAAAAGAGAACAAAACCGACAGAGACAATACAACAAAATAAAACTTAGGTAAATGATTTGGAACTATTAGTAGAGCTTTGAGAAATGTTAGAAAGTCAAAGTCAAAATCGTTTATTTCAATTAGGCCAGAATGGCACTTTTGAACGTCAACAAAAAAAATTAAAAGTGAAGTTATTTGCTCATTCCAAGGTGTAGATTCCTATGGAGAAGAACGAGCAAGAAACTCCATAGGTTACTCTTTTTCAATCAGGTTCACAATACAATTTACTAATTACATAGTTTTGCTGTTTGGATTGTGCGAGAACAATGTAACACTAAAATCCAGTCAAAATGACCAAAGAGAGAAAATACCATAATTATGAAAAACCCTATAATAATAAAAAAAAACTCCCCAATAAGACTGGAATCCCCATTCGAGAACACATTCAAGAGACTCTTTCAGGTCATTCGAGAAAAATTGAAGCAGGTAAATAGTAGGTACTATTTTTGTAGGTATATTACCTACCATCATCAAAGCTTCCTTAAAGAACAATTTCAATATTTTTTCTTCTCTAGCTTCTTATTGACAGACATTAGATGTCAACCACAAGGTCGCTACACTGTTACTGCTGTACTGACATTTATACCGGCAGTAGGATTATATTATGCTAATGTAATGAATGAGCAGCTAGCTTTAAATGCTACTCCAAACCACTGATTGTAATCAGCTGGTATGATGATTTCATTCGAAAGTTGTTTTATTATTTTAAAACTGAATTGTTGAATTTACTCAACAGTTTGTTAGCGTCCCGTTTGAAAATTGTAAAATCAGTTTTTGCTCCGCAGATGCGCAAAATGACATAACGCTATTATTCTTCTTTCAAGTCATTCTAGATTTTTTCCAAATGTACTTAGTACATGAGAGTATTGGTTATGATTAAGGCTTGTATCATTTTCCAAACGTATTACTCTTGTATAAGAGAAACTAATGTAAAACTAACAACATCAAACGACTGCCATTCATCTCATGTTGACAGTTAAAATCGATGTAAAATTCTTAATGATTCGATTGCACACAAAATGTCGTAACTCCGGCATCGCATGACGAGATCGATCGAATTAACAACGCCACAATACTTTTATTACAACCGTAATACTCTATTGCAGCTGTTTCTTTTAAATTCACAATATTTGTGGTTTTACGAAATTGTTTTTGAACGTAATTGGATAATTGTCTCAGTGGCCAATTTGGTGTTCTTTGAAAGGGCATAAAAAGATTTTTAGTTTTTTTATGGCGTTGCAAAAGACCTCGTTAGAGAATTGGCCCTTTACTTGTTTGATAGAAAACAAGTGTTCTGCAATAAAAGTAACGTAATCTCTGTGTTATTGTTTGGAAGTTTCACTTTTAATACGTTTGTTAGTATGGTCATGGGTATACGGAATCTCATTTTAAGTTAACTAAAGATAAACTAACATTATAGAAGTCAGTATAGGCTCATATGACATTGATCTAGTAACAAAATCCATTGTCAGACGCAAGGAAGTAGGTAGGTAGGTATGTACTAAAACTGCGACCAGTATCGAAAGACTGTGTACTATGTGACTATCGAAATGTGTTCTATAAATTTTTTGTGTGCTCACTAATTAACTGGCCTAAGCGGCCTACCAAACGAGAGGATTCTGGTCAACCCTCCCTAGAAGTCATATTCCAGCTCATCATGACGACCATAACATTTCTTAGGTACAATGAAAAACAAAGAAACAATTCACTACTGTTATTCTCCACCTATCTTTTCACCTATCTCCAACGCAGTAAAGCAGAGTGTTGATTACTTGTTCTGCCGTTGGAAGACAATCAATTACCAATGTTTCTTCGCCAATTATTATGTGTTATGGCTTATTTTCCTCGAGGGGAGGCGGTGATGTACCGACATCTGCTGCATTCCTGTGCTTTGGACTGGAACGTATAGCGTGTGCACTCGGAATGTACGCTTCAGTTGAATGGTCTAAGTTAAAGGAGGTGGTCTGTTTTGATTAAGCGAATAATATAGTTGTTATTTTTGGTGTGGTGGACCATTGTTCTATTTTACCAGTTTCAGGATGCATAGATTCGTAAATAATGTCTCTTACTGCCCGCACTTATGTTATCTCTTCATACTACAAAGCGGAACTAAATCGAAAACTCAATATAGCTAGCACAGTCCAAACTAAAAAATGTAAACAAAACTTTAGTTCACATAGAGCTTCCTTGTGCGTACTGCTAAGGAGTGGAATTCTTTGCCAGAGTCTGTATTTCCTAACCTGGGTATCTTCAAGGCCCGAGTGAATAGGTTGCTTATGGAAAGCCGTGCATCATCGCTTACCACCAGGCGAGGTAGTGGTCAAAAGTCGGTCCATCAAATATAAAAAAAAAATGAAAATAGACTAAATTCGCTGGCCTTTTAACCTTGTATCAGTTATCCCACTTTTCTTTGTAATACATATTACCTATTATAGAAAAACGTGCGTGCGAGCCAATGGTGCAAGCATGACAAAATCGTTACATACATACATACATAAGATGTGAAACCATTTCAATGAATATGCGTTCACAATTATTTCATACACGCAACAATACGTGTACGTATCCTTAATATTTATTGTATTTGCAAATGTATTACATACCTATGAGTAGATAGTAAATATTGCTACAAAACACACGCACGATACGGCTTAACGACAAAAGTGCGTGAGCATGAGGTGTAGAAATATTGGAGGCATATTAGTATACAATTAAAAAAAAATAACGTTACAATTAAAATTCATCCCCTTAGTGATGTTTTTGTTATCTACTTAAGTAGTCCCATTTACTAAACAGTGATGTCACATCATACTTACCTAGTTGCTTAGAACTTTTGCGGTTTTCTTTTAAAATAATATTCTTACTATGTGTTTTTTCGCGAAGAACCACAACTTTTCGTATAATAATTCACTTTGAAACGAGGAAACAAAATTTAATTTTTGTTGGTTTTTATTATCCTTCTTTAAAAAGTCTATAGTCCGCTGGCTTCTATGGCTTACACCATACCAAAGTTGCTCTCTCGAATCGGCAGCCGTCATTTAGCATCGAGAAATCTGCTGTGACTGGACGATTACATACGGACGATCATTGCAGATAATTCTATATTAGACAATGAAATTATTGTACTATGCCTCTGTAGAGCCCCTTCATAACTTTGAGCCAACACTGGCCATTGAACAGCGTCCAATGCTTTATTAGTTTTCAAAAGATTATGTAAGTTTGTGTGTAATGGGGCAATGTATGTTGTTCATTAGTTGGCCAATGAGACTAAATATATTTATATTTATGAGACTAAATGTATGTATTTACATACATATCTTCACATCTGTCTCCCATGGGGGTAAGCAGAGACCATAGAACATATGCAGAGACTATGAAACGCCATTGGCTACGATTCCTACATACCTCTTTCGCTTCATCAACAGTCGTCAATCTGCTTGAGACTAAATATGTACCTAGTTGGTTAAACTGTCAAACACCGCGAAGACACCGGTGTCCGCAACCTATTGGTTTTTAATTATGTCTTTAATAACGGTTCTCAAAGGGTTAAAATAAGTAGTTGAATATTGTAGTTTCGGTAGTGCTTATATTCCTGACATGTTGAAGGCTTCCACAAATTTCTAAATACAGATATAAATGAGGAATGCTGGTGACTTTAAATATGTCTTGTTCCAATGTTTATAAGATCTTACCTATAACCAATAGGCAATAGGCTCACCCCCTATTACATGGGACTCATAACATAAATAGTGAAAAGTGGGTGTTACATTGTACAGTGGTATAATGTGCACCTCTGCCTACCCCTTCGGGGATAAAAGGCGTGATGTTATGTTATGTTACCTATAACCAAAAAAACAATACAACTTAGCCCAATCGGAAGACTACAATCGCGTAATCTGTACGTCGATACGTACAATTTAAATTGCAGATAATTGATAAGACATTTACATCCCGCCTAATTACTTAAGATAATATTCATATAACTCCAAATAAACGTTATAAAATCAAGATAATATTGGCGAGAACATCGATCCGAATTTATGAGAAACAAATTAATAAAGAAACCAGTTTTTACATAATCTTCATAATTTCTGCGCTGGATATGTAACATCGCTCCCACACGCCTTTCTACCGTCGAGGAGTGACTCAGAGATTGACATTTCTATCAAGCCACGCCTTAAAAGCTAAAGATTGCTTTGTATTCTATACTAGGTCTTGCCCACGGCTTCCTTCGAGATAATGTAGATTTTAATCGGATCTGTATCACTCTTCAATTCTACCGAATAAAGTTTTAATTGTGCAAAAAGATTGTATAGAAATGTCTACCTACATAGACGAAAACATCACTCTGTGGTAGGTACACTTGAACTTCTTAAACTGCAATCTCGAACCCTACCAAATGTGGCAAACCTTCTTGCTTAATTAACATTAACACAAGATCCCTCGTCTTATATTTCAGCAGTAGCCTGTTACGGGGTGTTGATGTACATGTTTGCTTGAGACAAACAAAAATGTACTCCTAGAATTTTAAAATACGAATGTCTGCTTCGAGCTAACAGTTATAAAATTAACTTTCATTTATTAATTATTTAATTATTTCTTCGGTACTTACCAAAAAAATACACTATTCATCTCCAAACACATCGATTTCTGATCAATTTCTCAAATGATGTTGATTTTCGCAAAGTTTCCTAACATTTTCTCTGCCTACAAGCTACACCTATAATAATGGCGATTATTTTCATAGCCCCTGCCTAC